AGTTCCTACCTTGGGCTCCCTGATGAACTGCGACCTGGGAGATGTAAGACAAATAAACCCTTTCCTCCCCAAATTGGTACTGGTCAGAGTGTTTTGTCACAGCAATGAAGAATAAACTAAGACAGTGACCAATTCTTGTTATCTGTCCAAGGTTGTCCCAGAATATAGCATCCCTCTTCTCAGTCTCCTAAGTGCTCAGGTTATAGTCATGTGTCACCCCCCCACCCCATCCCCTTTTGCCTAAAAGGATTTTGGACATACGACTAATCTAAATGAGCAGAAACAGTGAATGCTTTAAACATAGTTTAGAAAGTGGAAACACATATTAAGAGCATACTGATGCAACTGGACTAAATTAAGTGGTCAGTAAAATTGAATCAAACTTCCCAAACTTTTGAAAATATATCTACTTTATAAGGGGAAGTAAGTCTATACACTGAAACAGGATAGGGTGTCCCAGCTTATAATTTTGTTCTATTAAACTGTTTGGGGGGATATAAATCATGCATTAGACTGAGATTGCTTTTCAAAACCTACTGGCCATTGATGATCCAGCTACACGTAGCAAGGACTTTAACATGAGGCCACTTCTCTCTTTTCTGGCAGTAGTGATTCTTTTATATAAACATATACATGGCCTCATGTTGTCTATGTCAGTCTACTATGTTTACCAGGTTGTAACTGACAATTGCTCATCATTGTCAGCTGGTCTAGAGTTAGAACAACTGCAGTGTTTTGAAGGTATTGCAGAGGGAATTAAGTAACTAAGGGGTACAGACCTACCCTGAATGTGATTGGGATCACCATATGGGCTGAAGCCTTCAGTAGAACAAAACTGGGGGAACGAGGGATGAAACTGACTTCCAGCAGTTGTCTCTCTCTGCTTTCTGGTCTGGTGTGACTTGAGCAAACAGCCTTACTTATACTGCTGCTCCCACAGAAATAAGCTGCTCCCACTGCCATGGCTCCCCTGCCGTGATGTGAGACCTGCTTGTGAGACTATGGGTCATAATAACTCCTTGTTTTCTTAGATTGTTTTTTGTCAGATATTTAGTCATATAAAAAAGAAAGTAATCAATATGCACATGAATTATTATGATACGAAAATCTTAAAAGATTTTACAGCTTATCTAAGAGAAACTAACAAAAAATTTGCTGCCACACTGAGTAGACATAGACATTATTGTTTTGGTTTTTTTCTTCATAGAAGTGGTGGGATATGGGGCTGGAGAGATGGCTCAGCAGTTAAAAGCACTGGCTGTTCTTGCAGAAGACCCAGGTTCGAATCCCAGCACCCACATGATGGCCAAAAACTGTTTGTAACTCCCATTCCAGGGGTTCTGACACCTTCTTCTGTCCTTCACAGGCATTGCACAATGTGGATGCACTTATATAAATGCAGGCAATGCATGCATACACATAAAAAATGATGGTATAAGCTAAGATCAATGATATAGTTCTGTGATCCCAGGTGCTTGGCTCAGTGAAGCAGGAGGATCACAAATTCCAGGCCTATCCTAGCTAATGAATAAGTTCAAAGTCAGTCTGGGAACCTTATCAAAGCCAGTCCTAGACCAAAAGTTTAAAATGGGGTTGGTTGCACAGCTTTGGTAGAATATTTACCTAGCCAGGACACAGCCCTAGATTCAATCCCTAGTACTAAAAAAGTTGTGGGATAGTAAAAATTTGTACATAAATAAAGCTATATCTAGAGCTGCAATCATGCAAAAAAGACAAACACGTGCTTATTTTACATTTCACAGATGGCATTATAAAAATCAATGCAAATACAGAAATTAAAACACCAGTTCATTTGTGTTAGAATTATATTGTGCTGTTTTCAAAAACATTTAACATACCAGGTGGGTCACTGCTGCTGACAATGTACCCCCAGAACTGTCTCCTGAAATACAGATGCGAGTAGGATCCACTCCATATTTTGTAAAAATTTTATCTTGGAGAAAGAACTTGACCACCGAAACACAATCTTCAAGGGCTATTGGGAATGGATACTGAGGAGCAAGTCTGTAGCTTTAGAGGCAAACAAAAGAGAAACAAAGTACTTCTCAATTCACCAACAGATCCACTGGTAGCAACTGACCCTACTTTGAAACGCATAATTTCCCCAGTTAAACTTGAGATTCTCAATAACTTCTGTTTTTAAAATTCTTTAAATTTATTTTTATTTTATATGTATGCATGTATTGCCTGCATGTAGGTAAGTGCACCCGTGTCGTGCAATGCCCGCGGAG